CAAGAAGAGACATGACATCCAGCAACCTAGCAAACCTCGTGCATACCAGGTGCCCGACGGCACTCCCTTCTTTGTTCCGAACGACTATAAATGCCGATGGTGCAGACACAGGCAGGCGAACCTGCGTCGCATAGATTTCAAGCGCCACGTCGAAACACACTACCGGACCGACGTATATTGGACGTGTGTGGGGCTACCAGTGCGCGAGGTTACAAAGCTCTGGATCACCGATACTCTGAGAGTAATCGATGGTACTAAGATGATAGGCGGATGTGGGAAAGTTTTTGGTAGGAAGGACGCGTATATAAGGCATCTAAAGAGTAAAAGCGGTTGCGTCGGGGATGTCACTCACAAGTGTCATCCGGGTAACTTATACGACGACGCTTGACCTATCGAGTGCCTGTAATCCTCCTTTACGTGAGTTGGCCGATTATGTTGTTCATGTCTATAGTCTGATATCGAGCCTTTCACAGAATGTTTATTCATTTCATTATCATTAATCTACGATATGGGCTCCATCTCTCCGTCCCTCACACAGTACTCGTTTATAATCGTTTACTACCTCGCACTTCATTTGACTGCATACCCCTGTACTAGTTGCTATGAACAGTATATCGCTTCATCATCGCTTCATCGCTTTACATATCTACGGTCACCACGACACCGGACTCACAAGGATCGAATGCACTTTATCTCGGATGTTTGCACTCACTCGGGTGTACCACCTGGGGGAGGAATCAATTATCAATGAACGGAGAACGGGGAACGGGGAACTTGTCACTTTGGACGCAAGTTCACACCGCCTTACCGCTAGAAAGTTCGTACGTTCATGTTCATGCGTGTCATGATCGATTCTCACTCGGCAAGCCGATGTCCAGAATAAAACTTCCAAACCTAGCGATATTTCTTATTTCCCCCATTGTAATGTGTACAATGGACTCGCCGCACAAGCGAAGGATAGCTTCCGAACTCGCAAGGTAAAAGGCTCATCCAAGCACATACGGCAACTATCCACGAAAACAAGGTTAGATCAACCCTCCGCTGCGGTACCTACTTCTTGTCGATCATGCACGAGTTTCGCTAACGAGGAGTCAGGGCGAGACAATAAATCCTCACATCCCCGACTTCCCACAACCTCGCCGCTCGGATAGTGCCGAATGCGCAACATTGCCAGTTCCAGCAGTTAGACATTACAAGGATTATGCGGTCCGAATACGAATATTCGTGTCTTGTCTAGCACCAGTGCTTGGACCTCTGAGTGACGCCTGACCTGAAACGCCATTTAGTCTTTCTCTGAGCGTCCAGCTCCACGTCACTTACTACAACCGCCATTGTAAGTTGTGCAGTAGATTTACCGACTTCAAGCCCAGTTAACCTCTCGTTACTAGTCTATATGCCACGCTGGTTTCCTGGCGCTTTCCTAAACTCCGATAGCTTTCACCGAATCAAATTTGAATCCACGCCACCCGGGAGAATATGACTTACGCCGAAGGTGAATATCGCCATAAATGAACTTGAAAGCGCCGTAAACATGCCGTCTTCTGAAGAACGATTATCGCGGTGAGTCCCGTCTCTGTATCAGAATCCGTGATTCATTTCCATTCTCATCCCCAAATCCTTGCATAGCCTGCGTCGCCGGAATCACCTATCTTGGCCTACGGATAGTACCCTGTAGTCATGCAGTGCTTGCCGCGTTGCGAACGATTCGAGATAGCGTCGAGGATGCCGAAGCTGTGTGAGGCAGCTGATGGATTCCTAGGTTCTTGTAAATCTAACGGTCCTTTCTACTCAAAACCGAATATGGCAACGTCGAGGGTGTGTTGATGCTGATAGAAATCGGGCGAAAGCCGTGATCCGTCATGCCAGGAGTAGATTAACTCATTTACATTCTAGACCCCAGACGTCTTTACGCACAAGCCCAAAGCACGCCGATCCCTCATATATTCTATGAGTCCCTTCTCGTCCACGTATTCACCCGCTTTACAATCCCTGCTACTATCACCACTGTTTTTTCCCTACGCAGCTGAGCATGTCCATTAACGGGGACAGCCTCGACATCGACTGTCAGACGCTCATATCCTGGGATTCGGAACCGTGCTATGGCCTGCCCGCATCCTCTCTGACTCCAGTGCCCTCTCCTCGTGTCTCTTTCAGACCTTTCGTATCCCTCTCCAAGGACACAACTTGTCAGGAACCCACTGTCTCACAGATGTACCCCGATCCCTTCAAACGTAGCGCTGGCTTTGAAGTGCCTTTCATATCCGCCTTCAGTGACCCTGAAAGGTAATGCATACTACTCTATATCATCTCTTGCCAACTTTGCTGATATGGGTATATTTACGACGATGTTGTTCAACGCAATGCTGTCAGTACCAGTCCGTGTTCTACTCCTTCACACTCTCCCGGGTTCAGCACGCCAGAACTCCCACCATGCGACGACTCGTTGCTCTCTCCCATAAGTGACGCCATCGACTTACCACCATACTCCCGAACACGATCACTTCAAACAGCAGAAATCACGCTCTCATACTCCATCGCGCCGTCCTCCCTCCACACCTCCTCAGATCTACCCTCCAGCCCCTCAATGGATGATGAGGATTCGGAGGTAGACGAGGATGAGAGCAGCGATGGAAGCGAGTCCGAGTACTCCCCATCCGAACATGATGCCTCGCCCCGTCTCGCCCCATTGACTCAGCGAGGGTCATATCTGAGATCTTTGAGGTCCAATACCCGACCTGTCCCTAGAACCTCTTCCTCACGTTCCATTTCTTCGTCTCCGAGCCCATCCTCGCATATCACTCGCATATCTTCCCCCATCTCCTCGTCTCGAAATGTCCTGCGAACTAAGCAGGTCAAAGTCACAAAGCAGCTGCATATACCAGAGCCCAAAGGTTACGCTTGCCCCGTCTGCAAACGTCGCCAAGCGAATCGCCGTATCTCTGACCTGAAGCGGCACATAAACACACATTATCAAGAAGCGAAGACAGAGCAATCTGGCGCAGAGTGGCTTTGTTGCGGGGTGCCGATCTCCGTCGCATCACAATACGGCATCAAACATATTGGCGATGCCAAAGTACTGCCGGAGACTGGGGTGGTGATGATAGGTGGCTGTGGGACCAAGTTTAGTAGGAAAGACGCGTATTCCAGGCATCTGCGGGAGTCCAAGAAGAAGCGTAGGGACTGCGTCGGGGATACGAATGGCAGCTGGGTTCCCGGGAATGCTCACTGACCCGGCTCTTGAACAAATGGACCTTCTATGATCGTGAGTCATCACTCGTGTTGTTACAGCGCCATTTCTTACAGTTTGTTATCGGTTCAGGCACACCTTTGAATGCACACACGTAATGTCACCGCAATGCTTCACTTAACCAATATATCCTGCATCTATAGGCTCCTTTCTGTTTAACATTGCGTATTGCACTCCACCTTGATTTTAGTACCCTCATCGCACGATACCATTGTATTTGTAGTCACGTTGTGAAGAGAATTGTATCAATCTTGTATTCCTAACTTCACAGAATGCTCGCACTTCGTTTCTACTATACTCGCCACCCTTCCTTGCAATCTCACTAATCGAAGATGTATCCTATGCCGGTCACCTTTGGGACTCATGCAACAAGTATCAAGGTATCAGGAAGACCCTTTGGAAAATGACGAACTTAAAGCTACGGATATTGAGGACTGGGTACATTGAGATGAAACTTGTATCATAAGATGCTAGTAAGAGCTTTCGTAAGATAGCTGCACACTACAACGAATCGAGCACTGAAGTATGAGATGTCGCGAATAAAATGGACACAATTGTATGAAGCTGATTATGCGGCATCCTCTGACATCAGCACATATTCTCTGGCCGATTCCCCAAATTTTATGACTGAGATGATGCAAAGATGATATCAGAGTCTGAGTGTAAACGAGTGGGGCTTCACGTACCATCACCTAACTTCAATTCATAGTATCTTGAGGCGGGTATCGTGTCGTCATTCACCTGTGTGCCATTAGTGGACTCGAGATCTATGATAAACGGCCTGATGACGAAGGTCACAATTGTGAGTAAACTCGGAAAAACGATGCGGATGGCTGTCATACTTCACAGCAGTTTTTGAATCCCCAAATTCATTCTTCTCATGAACCTGCCGGACTAATGGACGACATCAGGGAAGGAAAGTATTCACCATTCGAGAGAAACACGTACATTGGATAGCAGCATGTTGTTTCGAACATGACGGGTGTTCAACGGTTATGTCTGCAACTAGACGGTCCCTACCGATCAAGTATGCGCTCTGTCGGTGTATATGCAATAGGTCTGTATCACAGCTAAGTGAGCACGAGGCACGTAAGACGACCTATCTAAGAATACCTACCAGCCTGTTCCTTCCCCTTGAAGACATATAATCTCCATCCTACTACTGGTTTCCGCGCCTCTGCTGGTTCATGGTACTTGAGGACAGTTTTAGTGCCGTCGGCATGATCCACAGTCTTGGTAGCGGCTGCAAGAAGTCCAGAGGGTGCGAAGTTAGGCTTTGCCTTGTCTTCCGGAGACTTTGACCTCGAAACCGATTTGGACTTTGTATGCGAAGGACGCCGTTGAGGGGACGCCGACCTCCGTGAGGTGCCTCCTCTAGCATTTCGATGGTCCAAATCTCTGTCAGAGCGCTGAGGGGCACGGTCTCTAGAGTCGTCGTGCCCGCTACGACGTGAGCCTTCGCCTCTCCCTCTCACTCTGTCATAGTCTAAGTCTTCCTTTCGGTCCCGCTGTCTACGGTCATCTCGTTGGGTATGCTGACGCTCTCGCCATCTGTCTTCAGATCCTCTCGACCTAGTATCCCTGTCAAGGTATTCGGAGCGATATGAACGGCCAGGTGAACGTGAGTCGCGCACCATTATGAAACTACTAGTAGCCGTACAAGCGAAAACAACAATAAGTCGCAGACATACGGAGATACTTAGCAGATCAATTTTATTTTGTATAAGTGACTAATTGTGACTATACTTGTATGTCCGATATGGTGTAGTGGCTAACATTATCGCCTCTCATCAACGTGAACGCGATAGCCCGGGGTTCAATTCCCCGTGTCGGAATACTTTTATGCTCTGAGCCCAAAGTTACTATTTTACAATGAGAGTTACGTTTGCTCTTTATAAACTGTTTGCAACCCTTTTTATTTGCGGCATAAATGTAAAGGTGAAGGAAAGGGTAGGTTTACAATTGATATATGATCTTCTTGATCTGGAGGATGAAGGGAGTATAGAAGAATTTCTCACTGTCATAGTATTTCTAACCTTGTTTCCGAATTTGCGCACTGGATTCCCAAAGACCTAAGTTAGAGACTTAGAGGAAACCTTAATGATTTACAATTTACGATATTATGCTTAAAGCTCCAGCCTTTTACCTTACTCTTACACAAAAGATTCTATCGCAAGAGGAGTGTAGAGCAGGCACTTCAAGTTGTTCTGTCTGATGTCATACAGCCTGTTTCACGGGACGATTCGTGTTGTAGGAGGTTATAGGGACCTGATGAACGGCGATGCATGGTTGATTGCATGATTGACATAAGATCATTTCGTGTTGTTACAAAGTACAATGTCATGTTACACATCAAACCAGATATACTTCACATGATCGCCCCAATAAAACAATTCAATTGCTCCAGCCTCCAGGAAACAAAAGAAATCAAGTGCAGAAAATAGTACCGATGTAGATTCCTTGATATGGTCCCAAGTGATCAAGAATATCACCATCAAAAACGTTGGGGACGGTCGCGATCGTGCACTGTGAGTCGACAGCATCGTCGTCACCAGGACACGACACAGCGTCATTGTCAGACACAATATGGATCTCTCCGTGGGGATGTGCAAATCCTAAGGCGCGCCCCGGGCATATTGGGATTGGATCAGATTCATGATTGATGTGCTCGAAATCAGGCACCTGCGATACGGAAGTTGAGTGACATGGGTTGATATCAGGCAGTTTAAAAAGGAAACACAAACTTTTGAGTCAAAGAAGGTCGCAAAAGCAGGATCCCCAACACGAGGGGTGCCATACGTGACTCCTTTGACATGGATATTGGACGGAAGGTTCATAGTCATGAACAAAGCGTCCAATTCTGCAAGAGCCCCTCCCAGCGAATGTCCAACCTATGAGTTGCTATAATTAGTAAGGCTGCTCGGGTGCAGATGGAAACAAAACACATAGCATACCAAGATAACTGAGGTTGCACCCTCAGTTGAGATCAATCTCTTCGTCTCAGTCAGAATTGCAGGGGCCGTGAGAGCATGCTCGTCCAAAAATCCGCTGTGTGCGAAGATACTGGAACTGATGCCAGGGAATAGTGTTGGGCTGAGGTTCGACATCGCAATCTCGACGTCCGTCAAGTCCGCCAAACTAGCAGAGCAGAACTTAGGAAAATTTGGGATCGAGATGGTAGACGTGCATATACTCACAACTGAGTTGGGTCGGTGCCTTCATGAGCTACCACAACCGCATTCTGGGCCGGCCAGTACCCAACATAATCTACAGTCGTATGTGAGCCCGACAGAGAGAGATGCGAGCGTCATACAAACTTACAAAGCTGTGTTGCGTCTCCATCCCCGCCGGTGAGAGTCACCTGGAACCCAGGAACAGCATTACAGGCATCTGTATATATGCATGAGCAACTCCGATGTGAACCAATCACCGGAAAACGAGAAGGCTTACCACCACATGCCCATCCTGTCACGCTGCTGGAGTCGCAGTAGGCGGCCCGCGCGAATTGCGTGTACGGAGCGAGAGCAGCCAAAGCAGATGCAGACAGCTGAGTGACCGTGTCTGCGGATTTCTTGACCAAGATGGGTGCATCCAGCGAGGGATTAGGAACTGCAATGGCAACTGCAAGGCTGCATAACAGAGCCAAGACTGGGACGACGGACAAGACTTGCATCGCTGGGGGCTAAAACCAGGAGAAGACAGACGAGAGTAGGCCGCCTAGAGGCATCAGAGACATGCTCAGCATTATATACGCCCTCGGAAAGTATTGATGTCCAGTTATTGTATCGTTACCACGCAAGTCGGTTGTGCACCATGCGGTCCCAATGGCTTCGTAGTATTCTTCAGTGCCCCGTAAGCTTCGCACGCCTTCAGTGGACTGCCTCGTTAATCCCCCAGATGACAACAATCCGCGTGGTGCGTGCCCAGGAATAAACAAAGAACACCTCCAGACATCATGCGTGCGGGGGTCCACGATGAGCATTGGCATGTGATAGCACTGTAGTGCTGCCACGCTCAATGAGTAAGAAAACAATCCAGTGAACGAACACGGTAACAACTCACCTTAAAGTCTCCCGGCCCAACTTCCAGAACAATTCAAACGTCCGGCGCCACTCTAAATCTCCTTCAACATGTCCATCCTAGCTGCATATTTCCCAACCTACATCGCGAAGAGAAATCGACTAGCGCGTCCGGCGAGGTGTCGGCCGTTGTATAAGACACTAGTAACTTGTTTTGATGGTAGGTGATCGGCAAGGCGCACTGACAGACGACCTCGTTGGCAAAAGCATGCCTAGAGGGTCAGCAGGTCAAACCTTGTCTCATCCTAGAGCCTTGTGTGCCTGTAGTAGCGAGTGAATTGAGCGTATTAGGCAGGTATTTTGACGACAGATGGAGGGCCGGTGGGAGGTCACGGGTAGGCACTAAGCTCTGATATCAATAATAAACAGAAGCCATGGACTTACAGCGCGGATTTTCCGAAACCTTGTTGGTGCGAACCTTCGGGTGCTGCACACTGCATGTCTTCAAGCAGGAGATCTTCCCGGAACGCACACACAGAATGAAAGACGAGTTGGAGTTGGGGAGCAGACGGTGGTTGGGAGCTTTGAATGCGGAGCCGAATGAGCGGCGCCTCGTTGGGCGTCGGGGAGCCCCGCCACCACAGCAAATCCGATCGATCTGGGTTGAAAATCGTATTATGATTTTCGTCGTCTCGGATGCAGTTACCTCTTCAAAATGAAAGACGTCCCAAGCATTCGAAATCGCGGAACAGGAGACACAAGTACGCAACATACCGCTAGGAATATAACTGCCGCTGGATGAATCCCTCGGAGGTACTGATGCTATTACAGGAACAGGTGCACAGGGGGGGATCTTTTTTCTAACGACCAATCTGCAAGGGACCGTTGGCATCTATATGTACAAAGTCTGGACATGGGGCTCTTCCCAGCAAGAACGCAAGGCACAGTAATGCAGGCCGATGCGATCATCAACCAGCCTCGTTGCAGTACAGGTTGAGGAGGGTTATGACTGCGCCCTGAAGTTGATCCTTAGGCCTCGAGGCTTCATCTGCCGGCAACATCCTTCTATCCGTGGAGCTCCATATTGCCACAACACCGTTATGGAGAGGGGAGAGACATACAAGTACAAGGGATTCCCCGGGTAACAGACAGTGCCAGGGAAGCCGCAGTTGTTATACCCACGGACACGGACATGAACGCGGGCCGCTATGTTGGTGAAATCGTTGATAGTCTTGTCAACCCGGTTGTCGATGATTGAGAGGTCCAATCTCGACCGAGCTCTCCAACAAGCCGACAAAGATGAGAAACTGGGTAACATCTGATTCCACCGATTGCAAACGGAACAGATGTGAATACAGGCTAGCTGCGATGCGAGGACAGGGTTAGATAGGAACACCTTCAGGATCATGATCTTTGAGGTGAGTTACCTACTTTTAAGTCATTTCCGGTTGGCCAACACGTAACGGACCGCAAAACCTAGGGCTTCTCGGGTGTCAGTCTGCAAGACGCCTTGGAGAATCATGAGGCCAGCAATGTTAAATATGGCTGTGCCCTTGAGAACCGCATCGGACTCGCCGGATGGCCTTAATCGCCTCTAAGCCTGCAAGACAGCTAGTGTTGCCCGTCGAGAACAAAATCACAAGAGAAGAAGAAAACGTTGCACATCATTTGACTTGCATGCTTATTCGCTTCCGCCCCCGACGAAAATGCATAAAGGCTCTTCGAGACCGATCCACTACTCCCAAATGGAACCTTGTCCTACCGACGAGTCAAGGTTCAGAACTAGGACCAACGATCGTCTTTCCAGTCACATACGGAGATGCTCAGCAGAACGGGCGGAGGTAAAAAGCAAAGAACGAACTAACGGATAAACGGATCAAACCCTGCCTTTCTCCGTACAAACAGCCTGAGCGCGCAAGCTTAAGCTCAATCTTCAAGTTGGTTAAATACCCAAGCTGCCCTCTTGCCGGTCGACCGGTAGAGTGGGGTGGGGATTGCACGGATCGAGATGCCTATCCAGGATTTACCCCACCAAAACGCCCAATACAAATGCAGAGTGCGCAGCTCGCTATATCCTCTGGCGCGAGAGCCGTCAAGGGTGTTGAGTTCGGAGGATTTGAAAATGTCGGCCCGCCGGGAAGCCAGCAACCAGCCTGGGGAGGTGTTGGGAACTCCAATCGGCTGGATGTAGCCAAGCTTGCACATGGATGGGAAACCTAGGCGGCTGACTTGGCCGCCAGGGTGAAAATGCGAGGATTTGTCGGAATAGACTACCTACTTTGGAGGGGCAAGATGGCGATATCGATTCCGGCGACGAACGCGGAGTGGCGGGGGCACGTCGATAAAGGCTGGCATCACCTTGAAAACAAAATGTTCACCGGTCGGAACACACCACATGACTCTTCTAGCAATGACAACCTCGGGGGGATGGTTGGATACACGGCGAGAGACGGGGAGCAGCTGAGCTCCCCCGAGAATAAGTGTACAACTTGGTCTCTTTGTTCAATGTGAGCTCAGACGCTTTGATCAAAAGCGAACGCATCTGGACAAAGGACATCTCCGCAAGGCTGATAGATGTGAACCAGATGGGCAGGGAGCTTCAGTTTTCGGGTTGACGGCTCTAAAATTCAAATCCCTACCTTGTGGCAACAATCCGAATTTGACGATTTGACGATACGCTGGGGAGACACGCAGTTTGCGCGTGGGCAAGGGATCCCTGATGGATACGAATGATGATATATCCCCCGGTGATCTTTTGGGAGACTCGCAACAAAGACCAGGGCGGTGTTATTAGCAGAGTGTAAGATGTCCCGACC